GCAGTGCACTTCTGGTGATGCAGATCACCCTCTTTGTCTGAGGAATGTTAATGCACCATGGCTGAGCTCCAGCTTGAGATCCTAGGTATTCCCATCCCTGCCTTCCTGTGTGGGGTGGGGCTCCTTCTTCTGTCACTCTGCTACCTAAAGAGGAGTCCATGTTTCCCAATATTTCGGAAAGAGAGAGACATCAATCAGGTAAGTAAATCAGGTCCCTCAGAAATATCAAATCTTTCTTTTCAAATAGATGCATTCAATGCTATCAATTTCCCCCTAAGTACTGCTTTTGCTATACCTTATAAATTCTAATAAGTTCTATTTTAATTTTCATTTAGTTTAAAATACTTTGAGACTTCTTCCTTGACCAGTGTGTTTAGTAGAGTGTTGTTTAATCTCCAAACATTTTAGGATTTCCAGCTATCCTTCTGTAATTGATTCCTAGTTTAATTCCATTATGGTCTGAAAACATACTTTGTACAATCTCTATTTATTTTTGTTAAAGTGTGTTTTGTGGCCAAGAACGTGGTCTATCTTGGTGAATGTTCCATGAGAGTTTGAGAAGAATGTGTATTATCGGATGAAGTACTCTACAAAATGTCAATTAGATCACGTTGACTGATGGTGCTGTTCAGGTCAACTGCATCTATACTGATTTTCTGCCTGCTGAATCTGTCCATTTCTGAGAGAGAGGGTTAAATCTCCAAACATAACAACGGATTCAACTATTTCTCTTTGCAGTTCTACCAGTTTTTGCCTCATATTTTGACATTACGTTGTTAGATGTATTCATGTTGAGGACTGTGTGTCTTGTTGGAGCACGGACCCTTTGTGGTTATGTAATACCCCTCTTTATCCCTGATAGTTTTCCTTGTTCTGAAGTCTGCTTTGTCTGAAATTAATATAGTTACTCCTGTTTTCTTTTGGTTAGTGTTAGCATGGTACATTTTTCTCTGTCTTTATCTGTAATCTATCTGTATCTTTATTTTTAAAGTGGGCATTTTGGATACAACATTTAATTGGGTCTTGTTTTTTTTATCCACTGACAGTCTCTGTTTTTTAATTGGTGAATTTACACCATTTATATTTAGTGATTTTTTAAAAATACGGTAGGACTCATATCTACAATGTCTATAACTGTTTACTATTCATTATATCTCTTCTTTTTTCTTCTCTTTTTCTGCATTTTCTGGTTTTAGACAAGTATTTTATATGATTCCATTTTCTCTCATCTCTTACTATATCAATTGTTCTTTAAAAAAATTTCAGTGGTTGCTGTAGAGTTTGTAATATACGTTTATAACTAATGTAAGTCCTCTGTAACATTGTTTTCATTCCTTTCACTTATCCATATACTATAATCACCCAATACCTTGTCACTATTATTATTAGCTCAATTGAGAATAAGAAAAATAAAAGTTTCATTTTACCTTAATTTATTCCTTCTCTTCCTCTTTTTAATGAAGATCCAAGTTATCATTTTCCTTCTCCCTGAGGAACTTTTAAAAGATATTTATTGCAGAGCAGGTCTGCTGCTGATGAATTCCCTCAGTTTTTGTTTGTCTGAGAAAGGTTTTATTTCTCCTTCACTTTTGAATGATAATCTCACTAGATATAAAATTCTAGGTGGGTGGTGTTTTTTCTTCTTTCAACACTTTGAATATTTCACTCCACTCTCTTCTTGCTTGCATGGTTTATGATGAGAATCCCACACTTCTCATCCTTGTTCCTCTAGATGTAGGGTGTTTATTTTCCTCTGGATTCTTTCAAGATTTATCTTTTGGTTTCCTACAGTTTGAAGACGATATGTCCAAGTATAGACTTTTTTAGTATTTATCTTGTTGGGGTCTTTTCTGAGCTTCTACAATCTATGGTTAACCTGTCATTAATTTTGGAAAATCCTTGGCCATTATTACTTCAAATATTTTTCTACTCTGTTCTTTCTCTTTTCTCCTTCTGGTATGCCAATTACACATGCTACATATTTTGAAACTGTCTCACAGGTCTTGGATATTCTGGGCTTTAAAATTTGTTTTCTTTTTCTCTGTGCATTTCAGTTTGCAAAGTTTCTATTGACATATATTCAAACTCACATATTCCTTCCTTGGCCGTATGCAATCTACAGATGAGCCAATCACAGGCCTTCTCCATTTCTTGTACAGTGTTTTGGGTTTCTCACATTCCCTTTTGATTCTTTCTTAGAATTTCCCTCTGTCTGTTGACATTCCTCATCTGTTCTTGTGTGCCATCTATTTTTTCCATCCGAGCCCTTAACATACTAATCATGGTTATTTTGGATTCTATGTGTCATAATTCCAAAACCTGTGTCAATGTGAATGTGGATCTGATGCTTGCTTGGTCTGTTTAGACTGTTTGTTCTTGCCTTTTAGCATGCCTTGTAATTTTTGGTTGAAAGCCAGACATGCTGTATTAGGAAATAGGAACTGAAATAAATAAACCTTTAGTGTGAAGTTCTATGCTCATCTGGCTAGCTGTTGGGCTGTGTTTAATATTTACCATAGCTGTGCATGTCAGAGGCTTCAATTTCCTCTAGTGTCCTTGTTTTTGTGTTTCTTGTGTCTTTAGGTTCCCCTAAATCTCCTCCTTAAACAGAGCCTATGCCTTGCGACTCTTTCAGCTATGATCCCATCACTATACTGCAGCCCTGGGGACGCGGTGGGAAGATGTTAAGGGAGGGGATATAATTAAATCTTTTAGTGGGCCTGTGTCCCTGGGTTGTGACGTTCACAAGTGTTTCTAAGCTTTTTTTTTTCTTTTCTTTGAACTCTTTAGATGAGACAGGAAGGCTACAGGGGGCTGCAGTTGGGTAATTGCCCTTCACCCACGTGGGATAAGGCTTGGTAGTCTTTTCCCCTGCTGAGGAGGCTTCTATTACGGAGCACACTCAGGGGATATTTCAAAATCCTTTCAAAATGGTAACCTTTCTCCCCCACCCTCCTGTGCCAGAAACATCAGAGTTTCTTCATGGTTCTTCACTGTGAGAACTTAGTAGGGTTCCCGGAAGTAAAACTCACGAGTAGGTGGGGCCTCCCCTTAAATGGTCCTCCAGGAGTTTCTCACTTTCATGCTAGCCCACATGCATCCTCAGCAGTTTGTCAGTGTCTTTTACGTGTTTCTACCAGTTTATGGCTCTAGTGGCTTCTGCTCCAGGTAAGCTGATCTTAACTGTGATTCTCTGCATTCACCCTCTCTGAAGATTTTGGGTAGCAGTTTGCCCTGCAACCTCAATTCTCTGGTGACTTCAAGAAAAGCCATTGATTTTCAGTTTGCTCAGCTTTTGCTTCTTCTAAAGACCGTAGTAAAGACTCCCAAGCTCTTTAAGTGTTGGAGCTGGAACCAAAAGTCACTCCTCAAAGAATAATTCTTTATTTTCCTGTTCCCTTTCTCACATTTTTAAATGAGTTTGGCTGGGCCAGAGAGACACCTAAAATGGGAAGTCTGAGGAGAGGACAGACCATTGCTCTCTTAGGGGAAGAGAACAGGCAGAACTAGGGCTTCAGGGAGGACTAAGGATTCCATTTAAAGCTCACAGACTATCTGGGTGTGCTGGTAGGTTCCCAAATAAAATCCCAAACAGGGATTCTGTAGTCCTTGATTCAGCTATTTAGCGTTTCAGATCTGGGTAGGAGAACACCGTTCCCAGCACTTGATCATGAGTCATCTTGCCATGTCAGGTGCCCCTTGCCAAGCCTTCCTTCGTGTTGGGCAGATCAGGAGAACAGAGCTGAGTCTCTGAGCAGATGCTGGAGCAAGAGCTCTGTCCCAGGATACAGGGTCCTATCTGAGGAGGCACAGATGTGACTGTGGGCCTCAGAGTCTATGCCCTCCTTGAGCAGAGGACTTCTGACTGAGAATATCAAGTGTGGACTCCAGCCAAAAATCCTCCTTCGAGGTTTTCAAAGAAGGAAAAACTGAAAGTATTTTATCACCTTTAAAAATTAATAGAAGGAAGGAACGCAAAATTGTAGGAATTAAAATAGAGAGTCATACTATTCTTGGATAACAAATATCTGGCTTTCCTAAACAGAGAAGTGAGACCAATGAGTCCCAGCCCCTCATTCTTTTCTTTTTGTTCTCAGTGTCAGGGCAGAGCCAAGAGGAGAAGAAAAGGTGGAACACCAAGTGGTAAGGTTCTACCTATCCCACCTGAGCTCCCCAAGGGTGACCCTTCCTGTCCTTTCCATGAGGTCCCAGGTCCATGGTCTCTGAGGATGTCAGTCGCTAGATAGAGTCCCTCTCAGAAAACAGAGCCCTCAGAGGAGAGGCTCATGGGAAAGCAGTCAGAACCTGAAACATTTCTCAGATTCCTGCTCTGCCCACATCTGGGCATGAAGCAGTGATGGACCTGGGCAATGGGCGTTGCCCAAGAAGTGGCCATATGAGATGTCAAGAGTCAGAACTTCTGTCTCCTGGCCTTGTGAAAGTACTTTGACTTCCTGGATGATCAGATTCTTCCTTGAAGTAACCAGTGACCTATGTTCCTCACATGGTGTTTTTGAGCCTCACATGGGATGACATACATATAGGAATGAAAGCCCTTTGTGAATGATAAAGCAACATACACACGTGAGCTTTATTATTATCATTAACCGTGCGATCTTGAATCCTAATTCTTGGAGCTCTCCAAGTCCAATCTACCAAGGGTACCATAAAGAACATTCTGCTCTGCCTCCTAAAAGATCTCTTTGCTTCTGTCTTCATCACTTTCCTGGTTTCCCAGGTTGGAGAGCTTGCCAGAGCGAAGCAGAGGAGGCAAGGAAGGTGCTTTCTCTGCTGCAAAGGTGACTAGACACAATCCTTCTTTCCTGTATCCCGCTTGTTAGCAGTGTCTAAGAATTTCTAGGGCCTCAGTGAAACGTGAGATTGATAAGGGAGGGAAAATCCTCAGATTTTGAAATCCAGATTGTGAAAGTCTTGGGGAGAAGGAAACAACATAGATTGTGAGCTCAAGGAAGTGGGGGGATGTGAAAGGACAGTATGCAATGGGTGCCCCTACCTCTGTCAGACCTGCCAGGGCCCCATATATTTGTTCTGGTCCTGGCTGCAGCTATGTATCTCCTGTCTCCTTCAGTCCCCGGGGCCAGGATCGCGATACCATCTGCTTTCATCAACTGCTATGTCCAGACCCCTCCTGTGAGGAGTGTAATAGCACAACCGTGGAGGTCAATCAGCTGCTGTTCCTGGAGGACCTGGAACATGATACTGCCTCTGTGTCCTCTCTGGCTTCCACAGCTTCTGGGACTGAGTCATCATTCACTCTGTCCTCTGCCTTCTCAGAAGTCCCTCCAGGAGACCTAACACCATCCCCTCCACCTGACCCTTCCCCACCGCCCCTCTCCGTCCTCTCATCTAACCCAACGACACCCTTAGCTGACTTTCTTTCACCCTCACCACCGGGTCACTCTATGCCACCAGAGCCTTTTCCTCCCTTGGAGTCCAAATTCCCAGCAGACCATTCCCCACCCCAACCCCTTGCCCTTCCCCCTCTCCCACCACATAACACCCAGGCAACGGGTCCTATTCTCCAACCAGAGGACACTCTGTCTCTGAATACGATCTTCTCTCTTGACCGCACTCTTTCCCAAGATATTAACCCCTTACCAAATTTGTCCCAGATAATCAATCCCACTGATTCACTGGCTTGTCATCACACACCACCAAGCCTGTCTGTCTCACCACCGACAGACCACCCTTTAACTGTGACTCAATCTAAATCGGTTTCCATCTCATTGAAGTCTGTTCCAGAGAACTCATCTCCAGATAGCCCTGGTGGGTTGTCCACTTATGTCCCAACAGTCAGAGGCACTGACCATTCAAGTCTGTCCATTTCAGAATTCTCTTGTGGTCAGGCTCCTGCCAAGAACATGTTCCTCCCCACATTATCACACTCTCATTTTCAACGAGAGCAAGTTTCCCTCCGTCTACCAGAGACCTGTCTCTGGGGAGACTCTGCTACCAATCGCATGGAGGCCAGCAGCCATTCTTTCCTTGGCCTTAACGGCCAGGCATTCTTGGCAAGACAAATAAAAAAGAGAATGGATTTCCAGATTTTAGAGAACAAAGAAAAGGAGGAAGGACTATTTTCAAAACAAATGTGCTCAGAAAACCAACGGATGTCTTCAGGGAATTCATTGCAGCCACTTGACGTACAAGACACCACAGCCCCCAAAACTGGCTGGGACATCACAGGCAAGCCAGAGCAGCTGAGCATTTGTCAACAGCTACTGTATGTCAAGACTTTGGGAGAAAACTTGCAGCAGAAATATACCCAGCTCTTTTGGGGTCTTCCCTCTCTGCACAGTGAGTCCCTGGTGGCCACTCTCCTGGTTTCCAGCAGTAGTGCCCCACTAGGGTCTCATTTTGTCTTATTCAATGGAATCTGTAATGCTTCTGCAGTCAAGATGTGGGATCAAGAATCTCCACCACTTCCCCATTCTCACCCTCCTCCCCTCCCCGATGTACATCCGCAACCCTTCTCTCAGACCAACCCCCAATCTCAGCCCCCACCTTTCACTCAGGTCCAGCCCCATGCCCACCTTCAATCCCCACTCTCAATCCTACCATCTTCTTCTCCATCCCAGATTAGGGACAATGGAGTGTCTTTCCATAGATCCCAGATTCAGTCAGACTCTCATAGCTCAACTGAAAATCAACACCTCAAATGGCACATGTTGCAGAAGCAACAAGAAAGTCTGTGGGGTTTAGTCCCTGCATTCCAAAAATCTCGAGAAGCCATTTGTCCTCAAGCTGTCTCCCCTCCGTTGGTCAGCCAGTCCTCCCATGCCTATGTACCAGTCTCTGTCCTTCCTGGCCATGTTCATATCACCAGTGAACCCCAGGATAAAATCGAGCTCCACATTCCAAGGAGGCTATTCTCACACTGCTGCCTCCATGCCAGTAGGAATCTAGAGTCTCCGTGTAAATTCACAGAAACATCTCAGCAAAAAGGCAGACATGCTCACTCACAGCTCCGTCAGCTTCAGGGCCAGAGTAGCAAGGATCTAGCAGAGACTGAATTGAGTCTCCCAGGAAGCTTCCATGAGACGATCTCAACAAAGTTTCAACTGAGGCAGGACATGAAGAGGAATCTTGGATATATCCTAGAGAAGAGCACAGAAGACAGTCCTCAAAGGGTCTCAGAATGCTACCTACTAAAGAGTCTGAGGGCTGCCTCAGAGACAAAAAGTAGCTGTGTGTGTCACTCAAGGAATTACTCAGGGAATGAACTCTTAAATGTCTCAAGGAAGGACACAGACCAGAATGAAATGAAAACCATTCTTAGATTACATCTAAGCCAGAAGTTTTGGCAGATCACTGCGGGGAGGATCCCTCTCGGGGTGTGTCATTCATGGCTGGCTGAGGACAACCCATCCCCTCCTTCTGGGAGTTCCCAGAACAATATGGAAAACAAAAATTTGAAAAATGTAACAGTAGGTGGGGTCCACCCCCAGATGACCACTCCAGAGCTTTCTTTTGTGGATCCCAACACCCGACAGGTGCTAGAAGCCCATATTATAAGATTTCGCGTGAGTCAGAGGTGGGGCCTACCCCTCAAAGTTCTTGAATCCATAAAATCCTATAGGTTGAGAGAAGCCAAAACATGGCCTCTTCCCCAATTTGACTTTCTCTCCTCAGCCACCTATATTTCTGGGGTGGATTCCAAAGCTGAGGTTTCCAAGCCCCTTGAGGGAAGCTCTAAAAGTTTCCAGGGAAATAAGGTGAAAACAACGAATTCAGTCCCCATCCTGGATCTTCCACTCCCTGCTACCTCATCTGTGGGCAACGAAGGACAGGGGGCCCTAAAACCATCCCACTCTGATCTCGACCAGGAGCTTGCCAAGGACATCCAGGCAATCGAGCATGGCAGACAGACTTCAGAGATCCTCACACACAGCTTTACAGACAAAGTGAGTCAGAGGAAGACTGCACTAGACAATAACAGATGCAGCCGAGAGGTACCCACAAGGCAAGCTGGGGCTGGACATGTGCCAAGGGATGAGAATGTGAGTTCCAGTGATAGAGAGGACATGATTCAGGGCCAAAAGATGGTGGAGAAGAATTTAAAACATTTTTCCACGTCCACCATGAACTTCAGGGAGATATTCAAGGCTGAGGAGCTGTGCACTCTTACATCACAATCTTGTGACATCTTGACAACGAACAAGTTGGGAAGCTCCCAAATGGTAAATATCAATATGAGCAAAGTAGAAACTACCCTGACCAGTGAATGTCCCTCACCAAAAATACCAGTTCCCCAAGATACCAAACCATCAGACATTAAAAAACAGCTCCTTACCGAGTGGAAGTTTCAATTAAAGAGCAAGGAACATAGCCAGCCTAAAGGCTCTCCCGCTGACATATCCCTTACTTCAGATAGCTTGCCTTCCGACTCCTCACTGACTCAGTCCCAGAGCGTGTCCAGTGGGGACATGGGAGCTTCCCAGGTGCTGCAAGTCCACTTGGAGGACAATGGGGATTGGCGGGAACCCAGGGCCTCTAAGCATGTCTCATGGAAATGCCAGGATAGGAATTTCCCACCAGCTGCAAAGACAGTGAGACCTCTGGATTCCAAAGCAGGAGAATGTGGAAGCGAGGATTCAGGAGTTGGGACGTCTAAAGCCAGAAAGAGGAGCCACTCTATCGAGGACAGAGAATTAGAGGGCACTTCCCCGTGTCTGTCACAGAATGAACAGTTCCCTCCTGAAAGTTACTTCAGAAAAAAAATGAGGCAGTTTTTTCAGTGGATTAATTCCAAGAAAAAAATCACAGGGCAGGAAAGTCCCCAGAAAAAAGCCAAGTTCACGTCAACCTTTGCACCGCTCCGAGACCCAGCTCAAAGTGCAGCTCTCGTGAGCTGTGGGCCTCCTGAAGCTCATGAGCTCATGGCAGCCATCGGGAAGATCTTAGAGGAGAAACTGGCATGTAGATACGAACCTGAGGCTGCAGAGTTAAGTCAGCAGAAGGGGGAACTGCAGGCCCAGGTAGAGCCTGACGAGGGACATCCCTCCAACTACGGGGCTCTCTCTGACCCACAGCCAGGGGAATGGGCAAGGACCACGTCCTGCAGCCAAGATGCTGTCCCCCCTGACAAGAGTTTTCGTACAAGGGTTAGACAGAAAAGAGACAGGATCAGACAGCCCTGGAAAGTTGTGGCCTTCAAGGACCAGCATTTATGCCAGAGTCAACCACCTTCCCCACCCTACAGGGAGTCTGTACCCCATCCAAGACCCACCTGCATGCATGATGTATGCCACATCCCTCCGGCCACCCTCGCCTCTAGTGAAAGCACTGTGTTCAGAGATCTGACTCTTCTATTCAAACAGGAAATGCTTCTCCAACACTTCCAGGGAGGAAAAATGTCCCCAAAGAAATCATTCAGTCCTTGTTGAGAAAGCATTGCAGTTTTCACGAGAACACATCCTCTGATGAGAACCATGGTTAGCACAACCAAGGATACTGATCATTCTCAATAAATGTTTCTGCTAAGAGAGAGTAGTGTTCTCTGTGTGGTGCTTTGGGGGAGTGGGTTTGGGGTTCCCAGGGCTTATGCTCAGGGAAAGGAAGGAGGGAAGTCAGCTCTGACTGATTCCTCTTTTGGTTTCTGCAAGATGACCAGTCCCTTGTAGGGGGCCTGACAGTGGCTTTCTCAGTTTTATCTTGGGTCCTGTATTTGACCTTACTCAGATGTCCTGTACTTAAAACACTTTACTTTTTCATAAAAAGTACAAAAAGTTTACTCTAAAAACTTCCGGGCCTTTTCAAAATGAGAAAAACCCTTCAAGTCCAGAAATTGGCTCAACTTGTCTTTCCATCTGCTCCCTCACTATCCTGAACTATACACAGCTGCAGGGTGGGATGCGTTCCTCTGGAAGGATACAGCCAGAATTTCCCCTTGTTGCCTCAGAAAGTTTTGGAATTGGAAGTGTGGGGGCGTTTAGGCCCTGAGGTGAGTGGCAGGGGCAAATGTTGCTCTTGGATCTCTTGGTGAGGAATGAATGTCACCTGCTCCTAAGAGCCTTTCTCTCCCTCAGGAAGTCTGGGTGGTGGGCCACGTCCCCACGCCTCAGCTGACCCTAACGAAAATGGGGAGCAGTCCACCCTTCCCCTTCCTCTACCCTTCCTGGAGCAGAAGGGAGGAGAGAACTCGCAGCTCTGAAAAGGACCAGAGATAGGAATATTTTCCTGAAAACCGTAACTTACCTTCATTTAGAAAACGTTGCTGATTCCTGAGTATCTCACAGGTGAGCAGTCAGTGCAGGTGTGTGTATGGATGGGTTTTGCGATTGTGGACACTGGAGTGGCCAGGGCGGGGTCCAGGAACTGGGTGGGTCCCGCCGAAGAATCTGTTATATGTGGGGTGTTAATCTGTCTGGAAGGCACATTCTGAGCTCAACAATGAGGTCTCCCTGCATGTGAGGACACCTCAAGGAATGGGCAGAGCCGCTCCCGAGGGAAACTTCCTCAGGACGCCCAGCTTGGTAGAATTATTGCAAGACCAAGAGATCACCTGGCTATCACTTCTAGGAATGGTCAGCGGGCAGCCACCCAGAATTTGGGGCAAAAGGAGACAACAAGTAGGGAAAAAGGAATGGTGGAGTGAGTGGAAAAGGAAGGAAAAAATGAGGAGGGGAAGAATGACCTTATCATCACTCCTCATGATCCCTGAGGGTCACTTCGAGCTCAAAATGTCCCTTCCAGACAGATTAACACCCCACATCCTGGCCATCCACTCCACCCAGCACTTACCTTACCTAGGCCTCACCTCCTGGAGACTAATCAGGGCTGGGGGGAGCACAATGATACCGCTGCAGCTAAGAGAACTTGGGATAGTCTTCGAGATTGAAGACAGTATCTCCAGGAATGTTGTCAAGGAGGTTGTCCTCTCATCTGCTGCCTGCCTTCCCAGCCATGCTGCATCTTACACCAAGGTTACAGTAATTTAGGGGTGTGTTAGTTACTATATAACAAATACCCCAAAAGTTAGTGGCTTAAAAAACCAAGTATTTATTAATTCATAGTTTCTGTTGGTGAGGAATGTAGGCAAGGCCTACCTGGGTTCTCTGCTCCAAGGTCTCTCACAAGGCTGCAATTAAGGTGTCAGCTGGGGCTGGGGTCTCATCTGAAGGCTTGACTGGGGAAATACACACTTCTTCGATCACTTCTACAGTTGCTGGCTGGATGCAGTTCCTCAAGGCCTGTTGGACTGAGAGCCTCAATTCCTGGATGGCTGTTGGCTGGAGTTGGCTGGAGGCAACCTTCAGTTCCTTGTCATGTAGGCCTCTCCAACATGGCAGCTTGCTTCATCAAAGCCAGGAGAGAGTCTGCTAGCAAGACAGAAGGCACAATCTTGTAAACTAATGAGGGAAATGACATCCCATCACTTTTCCCTTATTCTATTAGTCAGAAGCAAATCACGAGGTCCAGTTTACACTCAAGGGGAGCAGTTTATACCAGGGTGTGACTAGCAAAAGAAGGGATCTTTGGAACCTTCTTAGAACTCTTCCTAACACAAGGGTTTCTTCTTGGACATCCCACTGAGTTCACTGAAGCAAAAGTGACCAAAGGGACCAAGTGGATCCTTGTGCTCACCCATATCCACGTCATCAAAGTTAAAGCTGTTTAATGGCTAAGCGGAGTAACGTCTGGTAAGAAAAACATCAAAGAGATTGAAGCATCCAAAGAAGGAGGGAAAGGTGGCATGGAGGTAAAGGCCGTGTGAGGTCATCATGAATGGTAAAGTGAAAGGAGCCCTTAGAACCACCTGCCTCACCACTGCCAGTATTCAGACTTAGAGGGGAGGAAAAATTAGGTGCAAGATGGCTCATCCTCGCTCCGCCACCGTATCTCCACTCTGCTCTAGCTGCCCGACTATAGGCCTAAAGAAGCAACCTTTAGTTCCCATACAGATAGCCAGGCTTATAGAGGAAGCAAACCCTACAGCCTGCAAGGTTTAACTTCTGCTCTTATTGATATATTTAATATAGCACATCCGTCATTTCAAATTTGCTTCTCACAGCTTGAACATCAGAGAGAATGAATCACACAATCGATGGCAAAGCCAGTACTAGGGAATTCAGCATGTAGCTCCCATTCCGGGATGTTTTCCATGAACCCATTGCCAAAGAGCTTCTAACCAAGGGAGAGGTGGTGGCTCAAAAGGGCTGACTTATTGGCTGGGGTCACAAAACAAGTCATACCTGGTGCCCAGATATTTGCTTCTATTCAGAGAAACACTGGATGAGGCAATGAGACAGAATTTGCACACTCAGCACATCTAGGCAGTGAACTGTCCAAATGAGGTGACAGTACCACCCAGGAGTGATCCCACACTCTTGTTCTGCTTCTAGTACTGTTTTCCTTTTTCCCAGATTCCAGTTCCTATGGGAAAGCAGGACTCTTACCAAAGAAGGAAAACGTATTAGCTGAACAGTGACTGGAGAGATGAGGATGAATTTCTCTAGAAACAGATTTCATGGGCTTGCTGCTTATACCCAGAGATCAGTGCTGTGCAGCTTGGGGGGTGGGGGTGGGGGGTGTCATTTACATGATATTCTGTGGCGCCTGAAGAATTTTCAGTGACATAGAATGTGACGTGAATGGGTTACCTGCATTTTTATTCCCTCGAGCCCACACTCCAAATCTAACGTCAGGGCGAATAAAATGCATGAATTGACTGGTACCTGGATGTGGCTTGGGTATGGGAACCCCAGATCCCAGCTTCAGGCACTGTGAATTTCTCTGGTACCAGGTGCTGCCTAAGGGAATCAGCTTTCTTGAGGCAGCCTTCACATGGATTAACACTCAGAACTGTGCCCTAATCTGCAGCCACAATGAAGGGGCCCAGGCTATGAGAAGGGGCTCTTCTCTCTCTCTCTCTTTTTTTTTAAAGATTGGCACCTGAGCTAACAACTGTTGCCAATCTTCTTCTTCTTTTTTTCTCTTTTTTCTCCTCAAATCCCCTCAGTACATAGTTGTATGTTTTAGTTGTGGGTCCCTCTAGTTGTGGCATGTGGGACGTCGCCTCAACGTGGCCTGAAGAGCAGTGCCATGTCCATACCCAGGATCCGAACCAGTGAAACCCTGGGCCTCCAATGCGGAGCGTGTGAACTTAACCACTTGGCCACGGGGCTGGCCCCGGGGCTGGCCCGGGGGCTCCTCTTGAGGCCTTTCCTCTGGAACTTCCATTGGCCCTGGATCAGAGCCTAAATTAGGCTATTTTCCTGGGGTCACAAGGACACGTTTGGTCTTCCTTAGGGAGGCCAAGTGGAAGCTCAGAGATTTGTGGAGGCTGCCTCCCTATCTCTCCCAGGAGACTCGGGGTCTGTTCCTTCCTTCTATGGGGGCCAGGAGGTAGAGAAGGAACTGAGCATTATGCAAGTTTAGCAATGCTTCACTGTGGGAGGGGGTTGGGCTGACAAGAGGAGGTAATTTTCCTTTGCAGGGATTCTTGCCCAGCTTGAGGCAACCTTCATTTGAAGCAGGATAATGCTGTTTCTACCCTCCACCTGAGGGGACTCCAGAAGGAATAAAAGTTACCTTTCCTCATTTGTCTTACAGGAAGTTCTGGGCTTCTGGGTTCAGGAGTTATTAATGGCTTTCATGTTTCCTGAACCCAAACAGAAGTTGTGAAATACCTGTTGTACAGTCCTGTCCAGACCCTCATGTGGGAGGAGACTTTAGCTGGCTGCTCCAAGGAGAGAGGAGATAGGGGTTGACACAAGGGCTGGGGTGAGAGAAGGAGAGTTGCCTAAAGGTAGCAGTGGCTCCAAGACCCTGAGAATCAGGATGTAGAGACGAGCCCCTTAGGTGGACGGGTTCTGTGTGGAAGTCCTCTAGGAGATAGCACAATGTTTTAAGGGACGAAGTGATGATGCTGAGATGACTAATCATCAAGCCCCATCATCTTGAGAGTTGTCACAAGACACGGCATTACTCACACTTAGCACAGAGGCTGTGCAGCCACTGGCCTTTCAATGGGCCCGAAGGGCTTGGGCAATGAAAATCCCAGGGGCAACCAAGATGGACTCAAGATCACAGGCTCTTACCTACGTATTTGATGGTGAATACTTAACTAAATAGGCAAAAAGCTCCCATTAATGACTAATATTGTATATCTTCCTACCCTTTAAACTGGGGTCTTTAAGCCAGATTTAATTTAATTTAGAAAAATGAAGTACTGCTTATTGTACTTCAATGTTGTGAAACAAATTTATGCTTTTTATGTATATTATCCCATTTAAACTTTACCATGCTTTGAAGTAGGTTTCTTTACCCTCTTTTATAGAAGGGCACGACCTGAAGGACAGAGAAGGTAATATATATTCAGAGTGCTAGCACAGAAGAGGGAGCCAGGGATGGAGAGCCCCCTTACGCTGTGAGGGATTCTTTGGATGTAAATGATGGCAAGCACAATTCAACTGACTTTAAAAACAGGATCTGTTGACTCAGGCACCTGAAAAAGGTCTGGGAGTAAGGCTGCCCTCAGGCAGG